TGAGCCAACTTCCCAGCCCCCCTCTCTGTCTTTCTTTCTTTACACACACACACACACACACACACACACACAACCTACCTCTTAAGACTGTTAAGGGACATCTCCTTTCTGTAGGACTATAGGAAAAGAAGTTCAGAATACTCCATCAAACTGGTACTTAAGATAGTACTTCAGAGAGATTAAGTACTTTTGAAGTGACACTTCTAATTGAATTATTTTTTTCAGTACTTCAGAATCCCAGCTTAGTTTCTGTTTCCTATTCCTTGGTCATGAACTCAAGTTGCTTCTGAACAGCTGAAGCATACCATACTGCTCTTTTTTCAAAGTCATTTGAAAGGGAAGCTTCTTATCTGTTTATTTCTTGGTGTGTGCCTCACAGCAAAGTGTGTAGAAAAGAGAGACAACCTTTTCATCTATTGCTCACTATTTGACTAGTTGTGTTTTTGTTGTTGTTGTTTTTAGGAAATAGGTTTTCTTGTGTTAAAACCCACCAACATAAAGAGTTTATGATTTTGTTGTTTGATATAGTCCTATATGATTGATTTTTCTAGTTGGATTAGATTGCTTGGTCCTTGAACTTAGTTTTCAGTTTCTACTGACTATTGAGAAACTTACTTCTGATCAAATAGGAACTAGAAAGAACTGCTACTATAACTTCTTTTCTAAGATAAAATTTTGACTCTATTTTTTCATGTCATTTTTCTCTTCTGGTTAATGCTATGGCAAAACCAAACACCTAAAGTAAGCCCTCTGTGCTATTCCTTGCTCATATCTGATAGGAAATGCGGGCCACTCAAATCTATTATGCTTGTATGTAGAAAACATACAAACAAAAGCCTCATTTTAAATACAGGAAGTGAAATGATAGAGAAATTGCTTTAAAAAATATTCATCCTCTTTGGAATGACCACAGACAATGTTGAGTGCTCTCCAAGAAATTAGAGCCTTTAGTTTATTTAGCTTTTAGTTTCCAGGGGTAAAGTAAGACAGTGTGTGCTACAGTGGAAAGAACCATGCCCTTCCGTCAGGTGACTGTTTGCTCTGTTCTTTATTAGCTATGTGGTTTGGGCCAAATTATTTCAGTTTGGCCAAACTCCTTCAGTTTCTTTTAAAAAAAGTGGAGATAGAAATCTATATTTTAATGTAAGGATTAAATGGGATTGTGTTCATGAAAGCATTTATATTACCCATATAAAGTATTATCATAAAACATTTTGGTGGTTTTTTCAGTTTATATATTGATTATTTAATAGCTTTTAAGACTATTAATACCAACCTAATTTTGGTTTCAATTCAGATAACTGGAGTAAAACATAATAAAGTTTAGTTTTCCTTATATCAAGTAACTTTCTGATTTTTGTATAGGAATTCATTAATAATTACTTGGTGCATGGTTGGTTTACTGATTGATTTCAAATAAAGGTGAAATATGGTTGAACATATGGAGAGTGTCAGATATTCTGGCATTTGAGATCCTCAGGCCATGCCTGCTTTTTCAATTATTTTGTTATGTAAGCTGGTAAATATCCTTTTCCCCCTGTTACTAAGTTAAAGGAGTTTTAGTCACTTGAAATTGAAACAATATTGGGTGAGGTAGATGAGTCATTTGGTACATGAAAAATATGAAGTTTGGTGAGTTGACTGACATGCTTGTTTTCTCATAGCTAATGGTAACAGTAACAAGATTATTTAGCATCAGAGCTTGTCTTTTTAACTATTGCTGGTCTTTTCTGGATAGTTTGCCTTTCTCCATCGGCAAGAAAGAAGGAACTGGGGACAGAGGAGATGGCAACTTCAGCTTGGACCACTCTGAACCATCCTTTCCTCTAAAAGGATTTACTAAGCAGCAAAAAGAAGGTATTCAGATGGTAGAAAAGATGATGATGTCTTTAGAAGGTGAAGATGGATTGGATGAAATTTATTCCTTCAGGTAAGAAGTGAAGACACTGGTGACAACTTTTAATCTTACATAAATTTCTTTCAGTCACAGGTCTCCCCTGTGTGTGTATGTGTGTTGGTATTTGAACTCGGACCTTGTACTCTTGCTAGAGTTTTTGCTCCTAGCTGGCACTCTACCACTTGAACCATGCTTCCAGTTGGGATTTTTGCTGGTTAATTGGAGATAGAATGTTTTGAACTTTTTTTTTCTCATGCTGGCTTTGAACCATGATTCTTTGATCTCAGCATCCTAAGTTGCTGGGATTACGGGCTTGTGTGAACTCAGATTCTTAGGGCTAGTACTGTTTGATGTTCATAAATAAATTCTGGCTTAATAATCAGTATACAAAATAAAAGCAGTATAGGCCAACTTCTCAAAGTAAACATTCAGCAACTAGAATATTTTTAAGTAGCTGTAATATATATCTGTTCTAAGTTATTTCTTAATTATGTTTTTAAATATTTCTGGCGCTGGGCACCGGTGGCTCACGCCTGTAATCCTAGCTACTCAGGAGGCTGAGATCTGAGGATCTCAGTTCAGAGCCAGCCCAGGCAGGAAAGTCTGTGAGACTTAACCACCAGAAAACTGGAAGTGGTGATGTGGCTCAAGTGGTAGAGAACTTGCCTTGAGATGAAGAGCTGAGGGACAGCTTCCAGGCCCAGTGTTCAAGCTCTATGACTGATCAAAAAAAAAATTTTTTTTTCTGGTGAGCCATAATTGACAAGTAGTACATCTTCATTTTGTAAATATGAACCCTTTTGACAAATTATAGGTAAATAGAAAGTTTATACATGGGGTTGTAATTTCCTAGTGATTGCTAAAAACTCAATAGGAATCCTTTACCTTAAGTATCTTGGAATAATTTGTGTTCTTGTCACAGTCTGTGCAGGTATGTTTGTGTGCTATTTCTCTTTCAATTTTGGGAATATGCCTTAAGCTAGCATATTAACCATAGTAACATGGAGAAAAGTTATAGGCCTATATAAATTACTATTTAAAAAATTTTTTTCCTCTGTAGATCATAGCAAACAGGGAATTTGTTGTGCATTGTCCTAGCAATTTGAAGCAACTTTGACTTTGGGTCTGCCATGAAGGTGTGGACAAGCACTTTGCCATCCAATATAGTGGCCAGTAGACACATGAGACCATTTGCGTTAATTAAAATTAAGTAAATCTTGAAATTTGGTCTACCAGTCACAGTAGTCATATTTCAAGTGCTTAGTTGCCTATTGGGCAGGCATAATTACAAGTGGATTGTACTGAGCAGCACTTGAGCAGATTTATCCCTGTGAGGATCTTAGGAAGACAACTTGACTTTTACCTGGTAAAATCTAACTCTACTGCAGAATGAATCTGGCTGTTCTTGAAAGTTATATCTTATACTCTGATATTTAGGATTTTTCCCTCCATCAAAGTTTTAGGCCTGACTCATGCTTGAATTAGTAATGTCTTATGAGACAGAGTTGACCTGTCTCAGACCCATTTGTTCCCCAACAAATTCATAGCCTAGCTGTATTATAAATTTTGGTAGCAGTATGCCAGATGTGTTATCTGTTCTACTATTTGTTGTAAATTAATGAAGAAATAGTCTTTTGAAATCTCCCTGTCCATAACTCTGGATAATGTAAGATAGTTCTCTACTTCTTCCTATATCTGCACTTCATATGTACCAAGAAAATCAACTGTAAGGCCTGGGTTGTGTGGTAAGTGTAGTTGGTCATTAATTCCTTTGCCCTTTATCTTAATGAATACCACAGATACTACCTTGTCTATAATCTTCTCTGTTGGATTTGATGGGTAACTGATAAAAATAGAAGTGATCTTTACTTTTGTTTAAATGAAGCAGTACCTTTCCCTCCTCCAGCCCTCCTTCCCACTAATAAAAAAACATAGAGTTTTTTCCTTTAAAAGACTAAATATAGACTATAATTTCCTTTATCCCCTAGTAGTTGTTACTTTGTTTTGTATGCATATAGAAACAAATATTATCTTTTATTTAAAAGAATTGGCGTTTTTTTTTTTTTTTTGTCGGTTGTGGGGCTTGAACTCTAGGAGGTCTGGGCGCTGTCCCTCAGCTCTTCAGCTCAAGGCTAGCACTCTACCACTGAGCCACTGAGCCACTTCTGGTTTTCTGGTGGTTTATTGGAGATAAGAGTCTCAGGGAATTTCCTGCCTGGGCTGGCTTTGAACCACAATCCTCAGATCTCAGCCTCCTGAGTAGCTAGGATTACAGGCGTAAGCCATCAGCGCCCGGCAAAACAACTGGCTTTAAGAAATGAATTGTCTGTGTTTTGAGCAAGGAGGTTCTAGTGGGGTTCCTCTGACATCCCAGAGCAGATGTTCTTTTTGTTTTTTCTTTTTTTTTTTTTCCTTTTTTTCTTTTTGGTCTGGTTGTGGGGCCTGAATGGCTAGTGCTCTACCACTTGAGCCACAGCGCCACTTCCGGCTTTTTTTCTTATTGCTTATGTGGTGCTGAGGAATCGAACTCAGGCATGCAAGGCAAGTGCTGTACCACTGAGCCACTTTCCCAGCCCCTTATTTTTTCTTTTAATATATTTTTATTGTAAAGATATTGTACATAGGGGTTACAGTTACATGAGCAAGGTAATGAGTCTATTTCCTATTGAGCATTGTTACACCCTCTTTTGTTTTTCCCCTACCATCCCTTCCCTCCCCACTCAGAGTAGATGTTCTTATCCTTAGGTCTGTTGTTTTTTGTGAACCTTTTACATTGTGTATCAACTTATTTGTAAATGCATTTTTACCATATGCTCCAAGGTGTCTTGGTCCTAAAAAAATATTAAGAGCCACTGGCAGAGTTAAAGAAACGGTTGAATAAAGAAAGATAAAGCTGTTCCTTTTCACCTGTCAGTATAGTAAATCCCAGTTTGACTTCCTTCTAAGCCAACTCACTTGTGTTGGCTCTCTCTCAACTTTCGGTTGTCATTTTCCTGCCATCCCCTGCTGTTCTCTTTATAATCATCAACAGTTCATTTCTCATTCAGGAAAAGTAAGTGCATCATCATCTAGCCATGTTTCATTTTATATTTTTATTTATAAAGTGAGAGCCTGCGACAACTGAATGCCTTTAAGAAAATTGAGAGGCGTTCCATGCCCTGGCCCTGCCAACTGACCATTGGCTCCAATTTGTCTATAAGGATTGTGGCTTATAAATCGGTAAGTAACAAGTAGACATTTAAAAAATAATGTTAGAGCAGATCAAGATGCTTATGTAAGGAGCTGGCAATTCATGTGTGGGTTATTCAGAGCATAATTACTCCTTCTCTGGCAGTTCTCCCTTTTTATTTAATCTTTGTTTAGCTTTTTATTTAAAAAGGCATGCTAGCAAGAGAAGTTTTAAGAATTGTGTATAATATAGTTTGAGTTTTTCTTTCTCTTTGGGCTTTTCTGTCTTTTTGGAAGAAAAATAATGAATTAACTTGTCATTGTAATATCTCAGGAATGTAGTTGACATACCAGAGTTCAGAGTTTGAAGATTTCTTCACACCTAATTTACTTATTAGTGATCTGATAGTAGTAGCATCTAAAATGTCAAAAACTGGTGAGCTGTTAGTGTGAAATTGCATTTTGTAATACATGTACATTTGTACATAATAGCATAGTTTCAAGAGTGAGTTGCTGGTGATGATTATTTGATGAAAGCCTAGTATGAGTAAGCATGTCTTTCCCAAGCCCCAACATGAGCTTCCTCCTCTCCTTTCCTTTCCTTTCCTTTCCTTTCCTTTCCTTTCCTTTCCTTTCCTTTCCCTTTCCCTTTCCCTTTCCCTTTCTCATCCCTCCCTCCCTCCCTCCCTTCTTTCCTTTCCTTTCCTTTCCTTTCCTTTCCTTTCCTTTCCTTTCCTTTTCCTTTTCCTTTTTCCTTTCCTTTCCTTTTCCCTTTCCCTTTCCCTTTCCCTTTCCCTTTCTCATCCCTCCCTCCCTCCCTCCCTCCCTCCCTCCCTTCCTTCCTTCCTTCCTTCCTCTCTCTCTTTCTTTTCTTTTCTCTCTCTCTCTTTCTTTTGTTGGTCGTGGGGCTTGAACTTTGGGCCTGAGCACTGTCACTGAGCTTCTTTCGCCCAAGGCTAGCACTCTGTCACTTGAGCCACAGTGCCACTTCCAGTTTTCTGAGTGGTTTATTGGAGGTAAGAGTCTCACAGACTTTCCTGCCCCAGCTGGCTTTGAACTGCGGTCCTTATCTCAGCCTCCTGAGTAGCTAGGATTTCAGGTGTGAGCCACCAGTGCCCAGCTGTTTTGTTTTGTTTTGTTTTCGTCCTGGGGCCTGAACTCTCAGCCTGGGTGCTGTCCCTGAGTTCTTCAGCTCAAGGCTAGTGCTCTACCACAGTGACACTTCTGGTTTTCTGGTGGTTAATTGGAGATAAGAGTCTTATGGACTTGCTGCCTGGGCTGGCTTTGAACTGTGATCCTCAGATCTCAGCCTCCTAAGTAGCTAGGATTACGGGGTGAGCCACCAGTGCCTGGTCAGAAGTTTTTTTCAGTATAAAAAATAAATATAAAAACATGTATTTCAGTACTTTCTTTCAAACACATGATATATCATGAGAATCTTTTTTTTTTATTCTCTTCTGGTCATGGGGCTTGAACTCTGGGCCTGGGCACTGTCCCTCATCTCTTCAGCTCAGGGCGAGCGCTTTACCACTTGAGCCACAGAGCCACTTCCAGTTTTCCAGTGGGTTATTGGAGATAAGACTCTCATGGACTTTCCTGCCCTGGCTGGCTTTGAACCGTGATCCTCAGATCTCAGTCTCCTGAGTAGCTAGGATTACAGGTGTGAGCCACTTGCTCACGGCTTTTTTTTTTTTTTTTCCTCCAGTCCTGGGGCTTGAACTCAAGGCCTGAGCACTGTCACTGAGCTTCTTTTGCTCAAGGCTAGCACTCTGTCACTTGAGCCACAGCGCTACTTCTGGCCTTTTCTGTTTATGTGGTACAGAGGAATCAACCCAGTGCTTCATGCATGTGAGGCAAGCACTCTACCACTAAGCCACATTCCCAGCCCATATCATGAGAAACTTGGAACTAAATATTTATTGGTTCTATCAAGGCTTAGAATAGTGTCCCTAGATATATGAATAGTCTCTCCTTTACTATTTTGATTTTCTTCTCAAAATATATTGATTTCTTTTTATTGGAAAAATAGTATACAGTCCCCTTTATTAGACAGTTTGAGGGTTTTGTATAAGGAGTATATTTGTCCAGATATTAATAATTATCTGCAGATTATCTTAGGGGAAAAACGAAAAGTAGAAATAATTATAAGGTGTTTCTATTAGGAACTAAACTAAGGAGTTGCATAATAGGCAAGAAAAAAAAACTTCAAAACAATATAACTAGAGTAATTGTGCTGAGTGTTTGTTTTTGAATGAGAGAGCACATTAGGTTTTCATCTGCTATCAACGAGAATCCAGTCTTTCCTTATTTTTCCATTTATTTGTCATTTGGAGATAAGATTATACAGACAAAAGCTAGAAAGACTTGGATAATTGTGGATGCAAGAACCCTAAAGAAAGAAGATGTACGAAGAGAAACAGTTTATTGCTTAAACGATGATGATGAAACAGAAGTTTCCAAAGAGGATACTATTCAAGGTATGCTGGGAAGAGTTTGCACTTTTGCTTAAAAGAGATTGTCTTCAAGATGGTGTGAGGCAGGTTAAGACTTATACTAATGTGCACTTGGAGATACTCCTCTGAGTTACAGAGCTGCAACTCTGAGGGGACAGTAAGATCCTGGTCCTATCCATCAGTGGGCAGGATGGTTCCTAGGAGGGTGCCTGAGGATTGCACTCTGCTGGGAGTGACAGGGTGTAATAAGTTTATTCTAGTTGAAACTCCCATGCTATGAGAATAGCTAAACTGGCTAAAACAAGGTAGTAAGGGGAGGTGTTTTTTTTTTTTCTGCTTGTTTGTTTCCTTTATTTTAATTTTTTACTTCCATGATAACTATTCTTCCAAGTGCCAGTTTCATGTTTCATATCCTACTAGTTATGCTACCTTAGTGGAATAAGAAAATATTTGTGTGGTTATGGTTTGTGCTAAGATCGTCAAAATTGTACCTATTATTTTATATATATAACATGTAATACATATTACTATATTATTGCTGTTATACTATGTATCATATAATATTATATACTAATTGTACTATATTATATAATGTTACGATATATAATATAGGGTAATATATAATTTTTGTTTACTATCTATACTATTATATATGTTATTTATTTATTTTGTTTGTGCTTGAGTTTGAACGCAGGGCTTCAACACTTGCTTGGCTGTCATTCTATACTACCATATGAGCCATTCCTCCAGCTATGCTTTTTGCTGGTAATTTTGGAGATAAAAATCTCATGGACTTTTCTGTGGGAGTTGGCTTCAAACTTAGTTCCTTAGGATCTCACCCTCTTGAATGGCTGAGTAATCCTGAGTAGGATTACAGGTGTGAGCCCACCAGCATCCAGTTCCTATATAGTATTTTTGTCCCAACAACTTTGAAAGTAACTGAGAATATCTGAATGTCCCAGAAGTAGAAATTATAAGATCCCAAATAATGGTTAAAACAACAACCAGGATCCTTAGGTAAAATTATTGCCAGGCGATGTATTACCTTGTATAGTTTTGATTTGCTATTCTTGAAAAAATTAAATCTATGGCACTGTATTTCATTATGTATAGTTCATTGTTTAGGGACTACAGTAATTTAAAGGTGGTGGTGATTATGATTCCTTTCTCCTGGTGGGATGTAGTTAACACTCCAAAATTTCTACTATTTTTATTTTTTAATCTCAATTTAGTTGTACAGAACATGAAATTTAGAATTAGAATTGGGTTAGAATCACGACTCCATCAGTTTATACCTGTTCGAAGTACTGGTCTATAGTGTAAGAATAGCATGATTGAAAGCTACGATGAAAGCCAGGCACCAATGGCTCACACATGTAATCCTAGCTACTCAACAGGCTGAGAGCTGAGGATCACGGTTCAAAGCCAGCCCAGGCAGGAAAGTCCATGAGACTCTTCAGTTAGCCAACAAAAAAATCAGAAGTGGAGCTGTGGCTTAAGGGGTAGAAAATTAGCTTTGAGCATAAAATCTCAGGGCACCCAGGCCCTGAGTTTAAGCCCTAGAACCAGGGGGAAAGAAAGAGAGAGACAGAGAGAGAGAAAGAAAAAGAAGGAAAGGAAAGAGGGAGGGAGGGAAGGAAGGAAGGAAGAAAGAAAGACTAAGAGCAGGGAAGTAGGGCTTTTAGAGTATATCTAACTGACAGCCTGCTTTTTGTCATTTAATTGTCATAGCCACTTAATGAAGTAGGCAGTCTTGCTATTCTATTTTATAGATATGGAAACAAGGTGGAAGGACATTCAGTAACTTAAAGTTACACAGAGGAATTAGTGTGCACACATTGCAAAGGGATGTGACTATACGCTATAGTCTCTTGTATATTTTGCCATGTACAAAGTTAGAGTTATTTTCCCTTACATAGAAGAAGCACATTTTAATTTGAACTTTCAAGTTGTCCTATTAAAGAACTGAAATAAATGACTGATGAAAGAAAATTTAGAAAAACAGTTGGTTTACATACAGCTCTTAATCATGTACCATATGTTTTTTGTTGCTGTCTTTTTTAAAAAGATGTACATGAAATTGCAATGCATTTCTTTTTAATTAAACACATGGCATCATTAGACTAACAGGAACACGTAAAACACTAGATTGAAGAAGAATCTGCCTCCAACCTCTAAGTTCGTTTTTTAAATTTTTTATTATGTTTAAGTAGTTGTACAAAGAAGTTCCCATTCTACAAAACAGTATATGAATACAAAGTGTCTGACAACATTGTCACCCATTGCTCCTAACCCACCCCTTCTCTCACTTTTCTTTTCTACAAGTTCTTTTTTGGTTTGTTTGTTTCTTGGGATAAAGATGTGCATTTACCTAAAGCCCACATCTTTGCATTTTGATGATCCTTTTCCTCACAATATACAATAGATTCTGCATAAGGAAGAGGCGGAGTCTTCCATAAATATGAGGCCATTGAACAGGGTTGAAATTTTTGTCTTTCTTTTTGTTTTTTGAAGCCAATAGTCTATATAAATATTCTAAATAGTGTGTGTCTTGGGGAAGAAAATCCAGCAATAAATGGAGAAAAATACATGCCCAATCAACTGAAAATTTCTAAACAAAAGAGGAGCTTTGGCTTCTTCTATTAGGTATTTGAATCTCTAGCAGATGTTTTTGTTTATTATTATTATTTTTTAAATAAGTTTTTTATTGTGAAAATGCCGTACAGAGGGGTTACAATTACAAGAGCAAGGTAATGAATACATTTCTTATCAAACATTGTTGCCTCCTCCTTTGTTTTTCTCCTACCATCCCTTTCCTCCCATCTCCACAACTACATCACCCCACCTAAATTGTAAAGTTCGTTTTTCGATATAGCGTCTTGTATATCTCATTGTTGCAATGGGTCAACCAAGATAAGGACACAAGTGGTTTTTTTCTTTCTTGCTATTGTTTCTAACGTATTTATATGTGAATTTTTTGTTGCTTTGTATGTCCCTCCCCTATGGTTTAACCCCTGTTTTCACTGTATTTAATGTTGGTATAATTTGGGGAGCAGAAGGGAAAAAACAAATTTGTTTATTATTATTTTTAAAAAATATTTTGTTCTAAAAATTTCCTAGGAGTGGTTTCTCTTGTGAATCTCCAGATTTCTGGATAAATGTGTTTTTATTATGTTGACAAATCATGCTTGTACTTTAGTCAGCCATGGTTTATCTTTGGAGTATAACTAGTCTGTTGCATTTGCTACAGTCTTTAATCTAGGTTGAGTAGTTGGTAAGATAACTTAAGTTACAGAAGATGCTACTTAAAAAATGTAATTAGATTTTAATGGATTAGATATTGTATATATGTGGCTTGTGCCTTTTTCCTTGATCACAAGGGGCAGAATTTTGATTCCAGGGACTAGAAGATGGAGACTGGCTGTGGAATGTGCATGTGTTGTTAATGTAGCACAGCGCTCATTTCAGCTTGGAGAAAATGAGGCCCCATATGCCTAACAGATGCTCTTCTCTTGTTCTCTAGGGTTCCGCTATGGAAGTGATATAGTTCCTTTCTCTAAAGTGGATGAGGAACAAATGAAATATAAATCAGATGGAAAGTGCTTCTCTGTTTTGGGATTTTGTAGATCTTCTCAGGTACAGCAATTACAATGCAATTGTGAACAAAATATGAAAGAAAAGCACTTGAAATGGAGTGCTTTTGATTGAGTATTTTATTTATAATGTATACTTATTTCTAAAATGTTGCTCGGGAGTTGGTGTTGGTATCTTTGATTTTTTTTGGAGAGAAAAGTCAAAATTTAGAGAAGTCTCAGAATAAATTGGAAGAGTAGATTCAACTTAATCATTCTTCCCATTGCTGACCTGCATGGCTTCCAGTCCCCTCAAGGAAACAGCACTTAGTTCTTTGCTATTGTATTGCATCTTTCCAAACTGTCATGTGTAACAGAATGTTTGAGAGGTTTGAAATTCTGAGTTTTGAATTTGCATCAACTCTTCTCAATGTCCATTGTAGTGTTAGAGGATGTAAACATCCATAAGTCACGTGTTTTTTAGGCACCAAAGCTGGGTTCACAAAATCAACACAATAGGAAATGAAATAATTCATTATGGATATTTCATACTCTCTTAGAAAGAGTTGTTCAGAGATTCTAAGAGCTCTAGATTAAATTCTTGAGGTAAGTAGCAAAGAAATAAATTGGAGCAAATATCAATCAATCTATCTATCTATCTATCTATAACGTTTTTGTGTGCACTTTTACTATAGGGACAGAGTTTTTAATTGGAGAGCTCACATGAGAATTGTAATGAATAAATATGACTCTGTATTCTGAGTTTGAGCTTGTTCATGTTGCTTTGGCTTATATTCCCTGTGCCCTTTGGTGTTAGAATAACAGCAAGGTGGAGAATTGTATTTATGACTGTCCAGACTGTTACATATGTCTTTAAACTCATAAGCCAAACAAATTAAAGAATATTTACTTAAACTGTAGGATTTTACTGGTACGAATAAATACTTTTGGGAAGTTGAGAGTCCCTAAACAATGCTCTGAAAAGATTTACTAAAGGAATTGTTTACTTCAGAACAAATACAAAAGTATAACATCATTATTAAAGGCAGTGCTTATTATGAGTCTTCAGTGAAACAGACACTTCATTTAGACCAATATATACAAACTGTCCTATTGAAAAGTATCTTTGCTTTGCTTGCACACACATGACCCAGTCTTTTTGTTTTTCAGATAGTCTGGTGCTGATTTTCTCTGAGACATCCATCTTCTTATCTCCACCTATAGAGTAGTTGGGACCAGTCTTAGACACAACTAATCCTAGCTTGTTTTTGAGATAGGGTCTCAGTAATGTGCCAGGACTGGCCTCAAACTACAATCTTTCTGTATCTACCTTCTTAGTAGCTGGGATTACAGCCATGCACTATATGCCTAGCCCTAAAATTAACTTATAAAAACCACAAAATGTTTTGTAAGCCAACTTTTTAAACAATAGATTTTAAAAGTAGGCATAGAAAGGGGTTACTGTTTAACATGTCCACCTTTTTGTTTTTAAGCTAAAAATCAACTTTATCTTAAGTACAACCTCAGACAAATACAGTGAAGATGAAGTATAATAACTACTATCTGTTGAATAGTTATAGTATTCTAGACTGTATGAAGTGTTTTGTATAAATTCTCATTTAATCCATACTTCCCTTTTAATAGGTGCCATGATAGGCATCTTTTAGATTGACAATTTGAGGTTCCATACTGTTAAGTAACAAGCGTAAAGTCATATAACTGAAAGATGGTAAAAATGGATTTTAAACCAGGTCTCCTACTGGGTTATGCTATTATTTTAGTGGTAATCTGTTCAGTGGAAGCACAAACTCATTTTTGAATAGTCTAGCTTACATACTTGTGCTCATACATATTGCTTAACAAAAGGATACATGATGGTAAGAGCACAGGGTTTTCCATAGCAACTATTATAAAATATGAGCATACACATTTTAGCAGACTAGTGATGCTTTCCAAAGCAATAAAATCACACATATTAAAATTCCATTCCCTGATTATTTCTAAACCAGTAAAATGATACATTATGCTCCCTTCCCTGAAACTGGGTGTTGACAAGTGTAACATTTCTGGATTGAATTGCTGTAAAAATGTTCATGCTTTTGGATTTATGTTTCTAGTGCTGTTGTTCTATTGTGTTTTGTTTTGTTTTTGTGGTACTAGGGATGGAACCCAGGGCTTCTTGTATGCTTAGCAAGTGCTCTACCATTGAGATATGTTCCCAGCCTGATTTCTGTTTTGTTTTGCTTCTTAATTGTGAACTATTTTAAATTTCAAGACCCTTTGATTTTCTCTCTTTCTTTTATTTTTATTATTTCCATTTTTTGTGCTTGTCCTGGGGCTTGAACTTGGGGCCTGGATGCTGTCCTTGAGCTTTTATGCTCAAGGCTAGTGCTTTCCCATTTGAGCCACAGCTATACTTTTGCAGCTCTTTGGGTGCTTACTTGGAGATAAGTCTCAGTCTTTCTTGTCTCACAGACTTTCCTGCCTGAGCTGATTTTGAACAGGGTTTCTCAGATCACAGCTTCCTGAGTAGCTAGGATAACAGATGTAAGCCAGTGAGCCACTGACACCTGGCTCAGTTTCTTTCTTTACAAGTTATCAAGTGTTCTGAGTATTGATTAGAGAGGAAAGAATTTAACCAGAATTTCTTCCAAATATCTGGCTGGCGTTTTGTTTTGTTTTGTTTTTTAAGTCATTTAGGTATATTAAGAAGAGATACCATTAGTTTTTTTTGGGGGGGGGTCATGGGGCTTGAACTCAGGGCCTGGGTTGTCCTGAGCTCTAGTTGAGGCTAGAGCTCTAGCTCAAGGCTAGTGCTCCTACCCCTTGGGGCCACAGCTTCACTTCTGGTTTTCTAGTGGTTAATTGGAGATAAGAGTCTGACAGACTTTCCTACCCTGGCTGGCTTTGAACTTAATCCTCAGATCTGGCCTGAGTGGTTAGGATTACAGAAATGAGCTACCAGCACTGGCCATTAGCTATTCTTTAATAGAGAATATACAAATTCTAATATGTAAAAGGGCAAGTAAATATATATGAATATAGCAAACTAAAATTATTATTCAAATATGCCTCAGAATGATGATTTTCTTTCTTTCTTCTCTTTTTTGTTAATTTTGGGACATTATCTTGCTATGTAGCCAGGTTGGTCTTGAACCTGTGTTCAAGTGTTGGGATTATAGGCATGTGGCATTATACCTGAAAGAATACTGATTTTCACATAGTGAAAAGATATGGAGATGAAAGGACTTTGAACTTATATCTGCTTCATACCCTAGCTGGTAGACTTCTTGAGCTGCTATTTTTTTTTTTTTTCTGGTCCTGGGGCTTGAAGTCAGGGCCTGGGCTCTGTTCCTGAGTTTCTTTGTGTTCAAGGCCAGCACTCTACCATTTAAGCCACAGTGCCACTTCAGCTTTTTCTGAGTAGTTTACTAGAGATAAGATTTTCTGCCCAGGTTGGCAAAACCTTGATCTTCTGATCTCAGCCTTGTGAGTAGCTAGGACTATAGGTGTGAGCCACCAGCACCTGGCTTGAGCTGCTATTTATTGTGAGAGTGCTCCAAATTTTTTAGTTTAGAGGTGGGAGAACAGAAAAAAAAATGGAGCAAAATGTCACCTAGTATAGCACATGGCATGTTCTTATAAATAAACTCCAGGCTCCAGATTACATATATCAGAGAGAAGCTAATCTTGGTAGAGGAAGATGTGGTTATGATTTCAGGAACTGTTAGGTATTTTTTTTTTCTAATCAAATATTGGTAGAGCTCCTATGCCTCACTTACCTTGTATTCTGCTAGATACGCTGATGGAATTTAAAGAGTGAATAGGACCTGCAGTACTCATTTTTGGTTTAACTACTTTCACTTTCTCCAATCTTGACCTTCTAAAATCTGTTCTTCACTTGAGTCAACTGCAGTTCATCAGAGCCTCATCACTTGTCTTAAGGATGAAGTCCAGTTCATTTGACTTTGTTTCTAAGAGATTTCATGGTCTATTAAATTTCGAATCTAATTTCCCATCTTTCTTCTGGCACACTATTCCAGAAGCATCTCCCTGAATGTCCTATGCTTTTATGTCACTCCAGACTTTTGTCTCTGCCTGGGACCTTGTACCCAGACATTTTTCTTTGTGAGTTCCCTCTTATCTTTTGGATGTAGGCTTAGATGTCAACTTCCTGAAACCCTCATGATCAACTTTACTTCCTTTCTTCCACATTCTTTGATACCATAAAACCTTGGTCTGAGGTACTACATTGCCATTAGTTTCATGTTAATCCATATAAGCGCCTCAAAGACATAATTATGGCCTGTTAACAAATGCCATAATGTTTGTAATGCCCAGGACAATTCAGGGCACAATACTAGGTGTTAAGGTGACCTGAACTGAGCCTTAAATAATATAATAAGTTGTTTTTAGTAGCTGTGAATATGCTTTCCATTAAAACTATTTTAAAGAGAATTTCTTAGCAATGTAGGACATCTGTTTCTTCCTCTGAGTCAAGACCACTTTTTTTCTCTCTCTTAATCTTGTAGGTCCAGAGGAGATTCTTTATGGGAAATCAAGTTTTAAAGGTTTTTGCAGCAAAAGGTGATGAGGTGAGTTGGCTGTGGATCTTCTAGGTAGTGCTATGGCATTAAATTGTTGTTTTATGAAAGTAGGTTGTTTGTGGCGTTATAGTTTCAAATGGCATGAATTAATGCAACAGCAGTTGTAAAATTCATTGACCTTTAACTCTGAAAATGGAGAAATGATAAGTTTGTTTTAGCATGAACACAAGAACTGAGGGTATAGTCATACAGTTGAAAACCAGGTAAGTATTAAATGTTCTATTTTGAACAGTTGTGCTTAGGTTTGGGATTTTGTGGTCAAATGTTAAGAAGGATTGGGGTAAGGTTAAAATTAGATTTTTTTTTATAAGCTTTGAACATTAAGTGTTTGCATAAGCACCCTGGAGAGTACTTCAGTGACTCATTGGACAACTTCATCACTGGGGGCATTTGTTTTTCCTCTATTCCCCCTCTCTTTCTCTCTTTTCCTATCTTCCCAAGATTTTCTCTTTTTAGATGAGTTTCTGCCTGGCTAGCAGACCTTGATATTTGCATTTTTTTACTCTCTTACCCTCTTTGTACATATTTCTTTCTAACCTCCAAGTTAAAGCTTACTATTCCTTTAAAGATGTCAGTCATAACTGGGAGATTTTGATCTTGTATCTGTTTACAACAAATTAAGTAAGTTTCTAAGTTAGGAAGAATTTTCATTTGAAATGTGCAAATAATATAGAGAACTTGTTAAGGTATTGGTGTAACAGGGAGTCTAGTCTTTTTTTTTTTCTTTTTTTAAAATTTAAAGTGCCCATCCTAGGCCTTGGACTCTGGGCTTGGAATATGTCCCCGAGCTTTTGTATTAACGGGTACTAGCACTGTGCCACTTGAGCCACAGCCCCACTTGCAGCTTTTTTTGGTGATTAAGTGGACTCTCATGGACTCTCTTGCTTGGGCTGGCTTTGAACTTCAGTCCTCCGATCTCAGCCTCCTGAAAGCTAGGATTACAGGTGTGAGCCGTCACTGCTCCGACTGTCTAACCCTGAAGGGGAGTAGCTGGCTGCTCATCTAGATGGGATATGTCATTGTTCTATGAAAGCACTTAAAATTAGGCGAAGAAAATGCTTGGTCTCTACTCTAAGTGAATCTAGCAGAGCACCTTAGACAAGAATCTAATCATATTTTGAATCTAGTCCTCTTAGAAATTGTGCTAGCCTGGTACATGGTGTCAAGGTATGACTTCTCTTTTGTTTTTATCAGTGCTGTGGTTTGATCTCAGGACCTCATTCCTCTTGCTTCCTCAGTTCAGTGATAATGTCTTTTTGATGATTATTTTGGAGGTAGAATTTTTGACTTTTGTGCCGTGGCTGGCTTTGGACCATAATCTTTGGATGTTAGCCTCTTGAATATGCTAGTAGTATAGATATAAGTTACCGCAGCCTGGCTTGTAATTTTTTTTAAAAAAATTTCTGCTGAAGTTTTAACTACCACTTATCCCTTCACACAAAGGAAATTCTAATCACTTCATGAAAATTGCTGGGTATTCAGTGAAGAACATTATATCACAAGGATATGTTGAGACTCATGTGCTGGATGATTCTCTAGACTTCATCACTAAGAGAAGCCTCGTGAATTGTGTAGTTCAGATTTGGCCTCTAATAGGTAACTAATTTTTATGTCAAGTCAAATCTCCAATAAAGAGACTTAAAAATTTTGGAATAAAGAATAGAATTGCAGCTGGGTACTGGTGGCTTATGCTTATAATCCTAGCTACTTACGAAGCTAAGATCTTAGGATCATGGTTCAGAGCCAGCCCAGGCAGAAAAGTCTGTGTGACTCTTATCTCTAGTTAACCACCAACAAGCCAGAAGTGGAGGTGTGGCTCAAGTGGTAGAGCACTAGATATGAGCAAAAGCTCTGGGACAGCACCCACCTGCTGAGTTCAAGTCCCTGGACTGGCAATAAACAAACAAACCCAGATAAGATTACACTCTGACACATACATACACAGACCTGATGGCCTCTAGTAAGAACAACATAGGAAAGTTCGAGGGTTTTATTAGGTCAAAAAAATCTATGCCAGTTATTATGAAAGAAGGTTCCCTAGAGTATCTGAGGGAGCAGATGAGCTCTGATTGGTGAGCTGTGGAGGTTCCCAAGTCAAGCTAGGGTTAAAATTATTGTTGCTTGCAAAGTACAGGTACTTCTAAAGATAGGGCAGGCTGTCTCAGATGGCATCAGTTCCATGAGCATTTCCCTCTTAACTCTGTTTTTGTGGTGTGTGATGAGAATACCTCCATTTTCTGTGGTGAATTTTCACATTATATATTGTAGTGTCACTTTGAGGTTATTCAGATAAAGATGCCTTCATCTCTTAATGGCAGGAGACTATTCTGTGGTGTCAGTTTTTGATGTGGTGGCCAAAAGGTGATATCTACCGAGAGCTTCTGAGCTATGCAGGGGAGGAGGAAGCTATGTTGTATGAGCACTTCCAGTGAAGTAATTGCATTGGGAAGGCTTGTGTGGGTAGATAAGGGAGTAGGAAGGATGACAGACATAATAGCACTCTTCACACATCTAAAGGATGATCATGTGGAATAGAAATAATCTATGCTTCTTACCAGACAGGTGAATTGGTGAGTTTTGTTCCAGATGAAGAATCATTTTGTCAGGAAGGATTACTTATTTTCTTGTGAGCTGGTCAGATTTCCATCCCTGTTAATGCCTCTAATGCCACCAGTTTCGTGCATTATGTGGGTTATTAAACTAGATGGAGAGCATTATTTAAAAATATTCACATTCTGTGAATAGCTTCCTTTAAAAATTTTTGTTGTAGGGCTGGGAAAGTGGCTCAGTGGTAGAGTGCTTGCCTTGCATGCCTGAGGTCCTGGGTTCCATTCCTCAGCACCACATAAGCAAAAAGAAAAGAGCCGGAAGTGGCACTGTGGCTCAAGTGGTAGAGTGCTAGCCTTGAGCTGAAGAGCTAAGGGACAGCGCCCAGGCCCAGAGTTTAGGCCCCACAACCAGACCCCCACCCCCCCAAAAAAATTTTTTTGTAGCCATTTGCAAGTGATAAATGCCTATAATACTAAGTTTCTTGGGAGATGGAGATGAGAGGATTGTAGTTTAAAGCCAGCTCAGGCAAAAAGTTTGAGTGAGGGGCTGGGAAGGTGGCTCAGTGGCAGAGCGCTTGCCTTGCATGCCTGAGGCCCTGGGTCCTCAGCACCACATAAGCAAAAAGAAAAAAAGCCGGAAGTGGCACTGTGGCTCAAGTGGTAGAGTGTTAGCCTTGAGCTGAAGAGCTGAGGGACAGCGCCCAGGCCCAGAGTTCAGGCCCCACGACTGGACCCAAAAAAAAAAAGTTTGAGTGACCCCCATCTCAACTAATAGCTGGAAATGATGTGTATGCCTAGCTATAACTAGATGGGATCACAGTCCAGGACACCAGGATAACAGAAAGACTCTATCTCAAAAATAACCAGAATCAAAAGAACAAGAGGTGTGACTCCATCAGTAGAGAGAGCCTGTGTAAGGAGCAAGAAGCCCTGGCTTTAAATTCCAATACCTCCAAAAAAATCTGTACATTACTTGTTTGCATTTTATATGGAAGAGAAGGGGAGAAGAGAAAGAAGAAATGGAACTGCAGTTGAGTTAAGCAGAGGTAGAGTACAGCATTATAATGTAGTAGTCTTTCATAACCCCTATCCTTACTTAATGTAAGATATCCTAATTGGTCCTGTCAGATACAAATAAAAGCAACCAAACAAATTGGAAGTAATTAATTACTTCTTCAGATTCCCTTTGTGCTACCTGATCTTCTCATATAGGATTGATTAGAACATATACCACTTATTAGGCACATTTTTTATTTCTGCTAGTAAAGAAGGTATTAGCTCAGTGAGGGTAGGGACTTTTGTTTTCTGACAAGACTTAAAAGAGTACCTAACAAAGAATAGGCACTAAGTAAGTATTCTTTACATTGAGCTGAATTTATCTATTAAGATATCTGTAGAGGCTTTCCATGGCAAAGTACAGAGGCCATAGTTTTTATAGATGAAATTGGGATTAGCTTTGATACAGGTTAGATGTAACACTAGGAAAGTACATTTTGTTTGGGGAGTTTGGGAGAGAGAGGGCTGAGTAAAGCAAATCTAATGGAGAGGTCATCAATCTCCTGAACCTTGAAAATGGGTTTGAAGCTAGAGTTAGATTTGGCGTGCACATTATAGCCAGGTGGAAGTTATATGAGCAAAAGAACCAGATGGGGGAAGTTTAAGACCCACCTGAGGTCACTGATTGCTCACTGAGTCTGGAATCATTGGCGGTTTTGATGGAAGGGAGCAACACAATCAGCTTGTTGAATGGGAGAGGCAGTGATGGATTTGAGAGATCGCACATAGAGTTGAGGGGTGAGAAAAGTGGCATTACTAAAGGCTCTTGTTTGGTTGAGTGGTTGGTAGTGTTATTGAAAGTGGGAGCGTAGGAAGAAAAAACAAGGAGGAGAAGAAGTGTAGTTTGAGTTATAAGCAGTTCTGGATCTTTCTCTCTTTCCTCTCTCTCTTTTGTGTTGGTCCTGTAGCTTGATTTCAGGGCCTGGGTGCTTTTGTGCTCAAGGCTAGCATTCTACCACTTTTAGCCACAGCTCCACTTCTGGTATCTAGGTGGTTAATTGGAGATGAGAGTCTCACCTGCCTGGGCTGGCTCTGAACCAGCATCTTCAGACTTCAGCCTGTTGAGTAGGATTACAGGTGTGAGCCACTAGCATCTGGCTCCAGATCTGTAGTCAAAGAAATAGGTGTGTGAATGGGTAGAGGCTACTGTGTATCTAGCAGCAGCAACATTGGGAGCCAAGGATCCAGCAACTAGGCCATGGATGGGTAAGGAAGTGGAGGCTGCAGTTGAGTTAGATTGAAGAATAATTGTGTTCAAAGCAGTGGAAACAGCAAGTAGAAATAGCTATTATTCCATGATATTGTGTGTGTGTATGTGCGTGCATGCACATACACATGTGTGTACATGCTGTGGTCCTGAGGCTTGTTCCTTAGATTTTTTTTGCTCAAGCTGGCACTCTACTACTTTAGCTACAGCTCCACTTTTGGCCTTCTGGTAGTTAATTGGAGATGAGTCTCATGGACTTTTCTGCACCAGTTGGCTTCAAACTTTAACCCTCAGATCTCAGCCCTCTGAGTAGCTAAGATAATAGTATGAGTCACTGGTGTCCAGCCCATCCATTAAATTTTGAGAAGGAAAGATAGATATAGCAGTAATTTATGGAGAGAGTGGAACAAAGATTTGTTAAAACAACTTTAAATTTATAGGGTAAAGATATAAATTCAGGTGAGAAGGAAAGTTGAATGAAGCAATAGTGGAAGACTTGTTCATCAAGTCCTAAAAGAAGGACACTAAAAGTACAGTTTAGCCTTAAAGTGAATAAAGTATTAAAGTGGGTAAAGTTTTCTTTCTTTCTTTCTTCTTTCTTTTTCTCTTTCTCTTTCTCTCTCTTTCTCCTTTCTTTTCTTTCTTTTTCTCTTTCTTCTTTCTTTCTCTCTCTCTCTTTCTTTCTTCTTTCCTTCCTTCTTTCTTTCCTTTCTTCCTTTCTTTCCTTTCCTTCCTTCCTTCCCTTCCTTCCTTCCTTCTTTCTCTTTCTTTCTCTCTCTTTCTTTCTCTTTCTTTCTTTCTCTCTCTTTCTTTCTCTTTCTTTCCTTTCTTTCTTTCTCTCTTTCTTTCTTTCTTTCTTTCTTTCTTTCTTTCTTTCTTTCTTTCTTTCTTTCTTTCTTTCTTTCTTTCTTTCTTTCTTTCTCTTTCTCCTTTCTTTCTTTCATTTGGTGGTGCTGGTGATCAAATCCAGGACTTACGAATCTAAGTGGCCTCTATCACTGAACTACATTTCGGTGCCTAGGGGCAGTTAAAAGTTGTTTTTTGTCTTTTTTTGTCCGTCAGGGTCTTGAACTCAGGTCTTGGGCACTGTCCCTGAGCTTTTCAGCTCAAGGAAAGCACTCTACCACTTGAACCACAGTGCCACTTCCAGTTTTCTGGTGGTTAATTGGAGATAGGAGTCTCACGGACTTTTCTGCTTGGGCTGGCTTTGAACCGTGATCCTCAGATCTCAGCATCCTGAGTAGCTAGGATTACAGGCGTGAACCACTGATGCCCAGCTAAGTTAAAAGTTTTGAGATAGAAAGAAAGTGGATGGTGCTTATATAAAGGTGCTTTTCTTTTCTTGACCCTCTTACACCTTGGATATGTTATAATAGCCACATCTTTTTTCACAGGCAGCAGCAGTTGCACTCTCCTCCTTGATTCATGCTTTGGATGAATTAGATATGGTTGCCATAATTCGATATGCTTATGGCACAAAAACTAACCCTCAAGTTGGTGTGGCTTTTCCTCTCATCAAAGAAGCTTATGAGGTAAAACCCACATGTCTTTTTATTCATATTTTCTTTCCATTCCTTGCACTGTTCAGAAGCATTAACATGTATAGGAATTATTTGGGGATCTTGGTAAAATGCAAATTCTAATTCTGTAGGTCTAGGATTGGGCCTAGCTTCTGCATTCTTGCAAGCTCTCAAGTTAATGCTGCTGATACTACTGGTTTTTGTTTTGTTTTGTTTTTTTAGTTCTTATTAAATCCATACAAGTTAACTGCGGCCTTCTTTTTACCTTTTCTAATCCAATGTGGGTATAGAAATCACCTCCATTTTAACAAATAAGGCTATGAGTAAAGGTTGAGGAAGTGGTTCTGATATGAACCTTGTGAAATTCAGTTTATTTGGGGCTTCTCTGTTTACAATACAGGACTAGGGAGGAAAAAGGAAGGGAGAATGATAGAGGAGGGGTGAGTCTAATTATTTATATGCATCTCACATCAAATGTAATCCCCTTGTATTGATGCAGATAAAAAAACCTTGGCACGTGTCAGGGAATAAAGTCAAATAGAGATGAGAACTCTATGTTGTTTCCTATTTCTCAGAGAACTTAGTGTGGTGGAAATATAAAGATGTCTTGTACTTCCAGGTCAGCTTTCCAGGCACCCTGACTTTTCTCCTTTGTTCTACTTGGTCATGCAATTTTACAGTTAGAATTTAGCAGTCTTCTTTGAAGCATTTCTTTTATGTTTCCTTTATACTTATTGCACTTGTGAATAGTCAGTACAGAAGTCAAAACACTATTTTTCACGTGCCAAATTTTAAAATATTTCTGTTGTGCCACTTTCACAGCATTTGGGAACTTTAAAACATTTTTTTTATTATTATAAAGGTGATGTACAGAGGGGTTACAGTTACATAAGTCAGGTGAGGAATATATTTCTTTTTAGACAATGTCACCACTTCCCTCATTCTCCCAGTTTTTCCCTCCTTTCCCCAACATGTTGTCTAGTGGATACTACAGCTGCATTTGTTCACCCTTTGTCCCCCTATTTCTTTGCCCTATTTTGCCCTTCCAAAGACAGATAAATGTGCAAACAAGACAAAAAAAAAACAAAAACAACCACAAAGAAAATCCTCTTGTTTCCATTTTCTGGAATACATTTCAATAAATACTATTTTGTATGATCAGAGGCACATAGGCATTATACCTTTGTATTGGGACCTTTTTTTAAAAAAATAGATTTTGCCATTAATTTGATTGCTTCTGCTCTTATCTCTTTTCTTTCTCATTAGTGTTTAGTGTATGTGCAGCTGCCTTTCATGGAAGACTTGCGGCAGTACATGTTTTCATCACTGAAAAATAATAAGAAATTCACTCCCTCGGGTGAGTTATTTCCATGTAGCTCTCTAATGACTCTACATACAGCTTGACCTTGGGAAACCACCTGGCTGCAGCCATTGATGGAGGCCATGATTGTACAGGATAGAATGAGTTAGATTCCAATCACAGACCCACATAATAATGATGGTAGTTCACCAACTATTTTTCCATTAGTGGGGATTGGTTTCCCCTAAACTGTCCACAGTGTCATGTTTCACTTCTGAGTTTGAGTATGTATCAGGGAGTAGCCTGCTGGTGTGGAATGTCTGTTCTCTAGTTGTGAGCAGAAAATTTGCCCCTGCTAAAGTGAATTAGCATGTAGCATTAAACCTATGTCTTTACTTGCCTACATAAAATCAGATATATCTTTGAAATGAAAGTGGCAGTGCTAAGGTTTAACTTTCCTCTTTGCCCTTCCTATGTAATTAACAACAATGATCCAGGTCGCATTGCTATGTATTTCCTGCTTTCAGCAATTACTTTGAGCTTGATGAGAAAACTGTTCTTAAGCATCTGACTATAGAGTGATTGTTACAGTCTCAGGTCCAGTGTTCCAGAGAGCTCATTGCTTAAGAAGGTTGTAATGAGGGGCTGGGAAGGTGGTTCAGTGGTAGAGCGCTTGCCTTTCATGCATGAGGCCCTGGGTTTGATTCCTCAGCACCATATAAGCAGAAAAATAAAAAGCTGGAAGTGGCTCCTTAGTGCTGGTGTCTACCTTCTGTCTAGAGATAAGTCCCTCTGTCACGTGATGATATGATGGAGGCAAGAAGGGATAATGTGTTGTTAGCATTGTGTTACAGTATGGCTTTGCCTTTTGATGGTTCCAAACTTTCAATGAGTAGACTATTTTAAGGAGAATGTTGTTGAGACATTATTTTATAAATCATCCAGAGTCTAATACATTAAATATCTTTCAATCCATTGATGTGAATTCTGCAATTTGACAATTCTGTTTATTTTTTCTGTGGGGTTTACAGTGTCAGTGATCTCGCCCGAGGCTAACTAGTGGTACTAGCTGGTAGTTCACAGAATGGTCTTATGTTAGGTCCAGCTATTAACTATTACCAGGTAGACACTAGACTAATAAGCCTAAGATGAAGATGGCTGTGCTATTGCTTGAAACCTTCCCTGGAAAGTTCACACACAGTAAGGCAATGTCTCACAATAAGTGTCTGTATATGAAAGGCATACCTGAAAAGGTGAGGAGCAGAAGAATAAAGTACTTTTATGGAATTGTTTACCCTTTTCCACCTTTTACCTAGTGATTAAATCCCAAATCAGTGTTTCAGCTCAACAACTGAACTGCTGTGAATCAGCAGACTGAAAGTTACCCGTGGTTCAAAGCAGTTTGGGGAAGTTACCTTTCAGTCACATTGCTTTGGGCTGTGCCGTTTTTGTTGACTCGATAGGTTTTTTACTGAGGAGCACTTGCTTTTTCTGGTAGGTATTCAGTGAGACATAAAGAAGAGTAGTTGTCATGTTTTTGCCATCAAGGAGCTTTAGGGTTTGAATGGAGTGGGCTAAGACATGTTGGCAGGTAAGAGCATATGCAGTGTGCCTAGTGTCATGATGCTTTGCAGAAGGAGAGAGCTGACTGGAGATTATGAAGAAATTCACTTACTCTGTTCTAATAGCATCTTCCTGTGAAGGTGTTGCACTCTGATAAAAGTTCTATTAAGTCTTTAGAAGTTTATGCTTCACTACTAGCGAGTTTATTCTTTTTAAAATATTTTTCTGCCTTGCTAGTTGCTACTTTAAAAATATTAGCTCATTGAATACTTAATATTTTGTTCAGCTCTCCATAGAGAATTTGGTGTTTATATGGTGTAGTTTATTTTTCAAGAACAAACTCTTGTTATGATACTCTGTTGCCAAAGGTTAACTGAGGAGTGAATTTAGAAAGACCTAAGAAGTCAACTACTCTAAACTGCTCTTTTCACAAATAAGAAAACCAAAACTCAGCTTAAGTACTTGTATAACTAGAGAATATTTTTAGCATAGCCAGTATCATAAAACCTGCCAAAATTCTATGAGTATTTATAAATAGGAAGTATTTCTTTTTCATTGAGTAATGGAAATGATCATGTTTTTTCTTTCTGCTTTTGTTTTAGAGGCACAATTGAGTGCCATTGATGAGCTAATTGACTCCATGAGCTTGATTAAGAAAGATGAGGAAGAAGACACCATTGAAGATTTGTTTCAAACCACCAAAATCCCAAATCCTGAATTTCAGAGGTTATTCCAGGTAAGAGAGGAAAATGAGACAATCATTTCTTTTAAATAAAACAATGTTAAGTGAGAAGCTGTGGCCCTGGCTAGTTCCTTTGAGGGCCCAATTTGCTCTATTTTTGTTTTTTTGGGGGGCAAGTCCTGGGGCTTGAACTCAGAGCCTGGTCGCTGTCCCTGAGCCTCTCTCTGCTCAAGGCTAGCTCTCTACCACTTGAGCCGCAGTGCCACTTCTGGCTTTTTCTGTTTATGTGGTGCTGAGGAATTAAACGCAGGGCTTCATGCATACAAGGCAAACACTCTACCACTAAGCCACTTTCCCAGCTCCCATTTGCTCTATTTAATAGAAGAATAATTTTCTTTCCTTACTGAAAAAGAGAAAAATGGAAAAGTAGAATTGAATCATTTTTTTAAATTATTGTGAAAATATCATACAGAGGGGTTGCAATTACATGGGCAAGATAGTGAGTACATTTCTTTTTTTTTTTTTTTGGGTCCAGTCGTGGGCCTGAACTCTGGGCCTGGGCGCTGAACCTCAGCAGTCAGCAGTTCAGCTCAAGGCTAGCACTCTACCACTTGAGCCACAGTGCCCCTTCCGCCTTTTTTTAATTTTCCTTCTGCTTATGTGGTGCTGAGGAATCGAACCCAGGGTCTCATACATGCAAAACACTCTACCACTGAACCACCTTCCCAGCCCAGTGAGTACATTTCTTATCAAGCATTGTTGCCTCCTCCTTTGTTTCCCCATACTTGACTCATTTTTTTACTTAGGAGCATCTCAGTTCAATGTCAGCGTGGGCAGCAAAGTTCACAGACCCCTTCTCATCTGAAGCTGGGTAAAGTGGTACATGCCTGTTATCCCAGCAATGATAAGAGGCCTAAAATAAGCAGATCACAGCCCAAGTGCACATCTGGTCAGGAAGAACCTATCAAAAATCACTAGCACAGGAAAAAGCTGAAGATTTTAACTCAATAGCAGAGTGCCCACCTAGCAAGCATGAGGCTCTGAGTTCAAATCTCAGTACTACACACAAACACACACAAAAAGAATTGTTCATAGGTTATAGCTATGAAATGATTCAAGAATAACTAAAATGGAGAAAAATATAAAATGTTTCTGGATCTTAGGCCAGAGAAATTGGAAGGCAGGAATTGGATTAAGGAACACTGGAGGAGTTGACAAGAAAGCTTATTTATGGCACGCGGAAAGGAAGGGAAAGACCGGGGCTGCAGGGGTTTGTTCCTCGGTTAAAGTAATAACTGTAGGACATTGACACCAAATGGAGCATTGCTTTTCAGTCTAAGTGGGCAAATATGTGATGGGGTAAGCTAGACATTGTCCCTTTGACTTACCTTACAAACATTTATAACTAACCTAAATCCATATTGGGATCCCCATTAGGAACTCTACTCAGAAGAAGCCGCCTATTTTCTTGATGTTTAGTTTTGTTTAAAGACTGAAAAAAACTTTGGTGCTGAAATTAAAAATAGTAAGTTTAAAGGCTACTTCAGTGAATAATGTACTCTTAGCATAATAATTGTGATTGATTGAAAATCAACCCCCCAAAAATCCCAAACCAAACCAGTCCTTAGCTGGGTACTTGGAAGGCTGAGATCAGGAGGATTGTATTTTCAGTCTATGCTGGCCATTCACTCAAACCAATAGCTCTATGCAGAAGCACATGCCTGTTGTCCTAGCTGCCTGAGAACTCTGAGATAGGGAGGATTGCAGTTCCAGGCTAGTCAGAGTAGAAAAGGTTGGGAGACTCCATCTCAGTGAAAAGAAGGCAGGCATGGTGGTGTGTGCCTGGCATCCCAACTATGATGGGAAACCTCAAAATCGAGGTCCAGGTGTACAGCTGGACCCTGTCTCAAAAATAACCTGTGCAGTGGTCTCCCTGATACATGGATGCTAGAGCCAAAATATGAGGAGATATGACAAAGTAAACAGGACTCAAGAAATTGGGGAAATCTGCCAGTTTGATAGCTTATTCTTTAGGAATTTTTTTCCTTTTCCCTCCAGTGGTTATTTTATTATACTTATTATTAAGTAGTTGTACAAAGAGGCTGTAATTCCCTGTCAGGTTATGGGTACAGTGCGTCTTGGTCAATGTCATCCTTTCTGTTGTTCTCCCCTGTTTTCCGCTTCCCATCCCTACCCAATGTACTACAACGTACATGATGTACATTGGCTATAATGATTGTATTTGGCCAACCTTTAACCCTTCATTCATACACCCCTCCACCCCTTTACCCTCCCTCCAAAAATCATGTTTTCACTTATGTACATTAGTACATTAGTTGTTCAGATTTTCTAAGCAGAGATATTTTTTAACCAAGGGAGAAACATTGTGGATTAGGGCTTGTACATGAAAAGGCTACAGATAGATTTGGAGAGCTTGGGTATTTTGGTTTCTCTTTTTGCTTTACACTGAAAAGGCTTGTTGATACTCAGGGGAAGTCAAATAATTAGGAAAGAAGAAAACAGAAATCAGACCCTGAAACAAATGAGTATGCTTTAAAGAGGGCAAAGGGGCTAGTATATGGAAAGGGATGATGAAGGGAGTAAAACATGGAATTTCTAGAGGGAACTTGGTATTTAATTCCTCCACAAGGGTTTTCTGAATTTGTAGGACATTGACTCATGAATGATATTCACTATTAAGACCTAAGTATCTGCTTTTTTTGTTGTTGTTGTTTTTTGTTTTTTTTTGGGTCCGGTTGTGGGGCCTGAACTCTGGGCCTGGGCGCTGTCCCTCAGCTCTTCAGCTCAAGGCTAGTGCTCTACCACTTGAGCCACAGTGCCACTTCTGGCTTTTTTCTTTTTTTTTTTTTTTTTGCTTATGTGGTGCTGAGGAGTCGAACCCAGGGCCTCGGGCATGCAAGGCAAGTGCTCTACCACTGAGCCACCTTCCCAGACCAGTATCTGCTTTTTTTAAGGGGGGGATTAAAACTTGTAGCTTACATTAAAGAAAAATACAAAATGGTAGTTTGAAATTGTAGGAGTTATTCAGCTCCCCGTCCTCTTTTTTCCTTTAAAACTACTAATAATTTGTTTAGAATGAGAAATAGAGCTTGGGTATAGATCAGTGGTTGAATTAATCTTTGACTCAGAAAGGAAACATCAGCCAACTGCTGATTCTCCTTTTTTCTTGATAGCATTTCATTGCTGTTAGAGTATTTACTTTTCTGGCAGATGTGAGTGCTGCCAAGGCCTAGTTTATTAGACCGCAAGCAGTACAGGGGCTGGATGGAAGTGGCTTGATGACCAGTTCTACTTCTATGAGGAGCAGAGAGCCTGCCTTAGCCTTGATCTGCCCCTGCTCTCGGTGCTGCTTCTGTGTATACTACTGTCAGTGATGAGAGCCCTGGGAAAGACATTCATTCAGTCAGTCTGTTAGGTGCTTATATGTCAGACATGATTTCTGTGCTTGAATTCAGCAGTAATCAAGAGAAGATCTCTACTCTGAAAGAGCAAGATTGGATAATAAAATAAATTGATAAGATAATTTTAGGCAATAAATAGATGCTGTCAAAATATAAAGTAAAGCAAATGATAGAGTATGAGTAGAGGGGATACTTCATATACAATGTCAGAGAAAGATTCTGAAGAGATAATTGAATGAAGACAGAAAGGGGAGGTAAGGAGATGGGAGGGGAATGGGTGAGGGGAAAGAAGGAAGAAAGGAAGGAAGAGCCAACTTTATTGAGGTCTTTGAGGAGGCAGAAGGCAGAGATGGATCATTAAGGCCATGAATAAGATACATGAGTAACTCTGGAAGGAGCCCATCCTTGCTGGGTGTGAGTGAGGAGTGGCAGGTACTCTGATCAGAGAGACAGGCAGGGGCTGTGTCCTGCAGGACTTCTCAAGACATGGCAAGAAGCTCTTTGGCAGGTTATTTGACACACAGGAGATCAATCAAAACGTGATTGGGTTGGGCAGGAAACTGCAAGAATGGTAGCAGTGGGACAGACAGAGGTAGACAGACTAATGGAGATATAGTCACACTCCGTATTCCTGACAGGTTTGGAAGACTTCCTCCTAGAACTCTCTGAGCGTGCATAGCCCCCCTTTAGCCACCTGTTTCATTCACTACAGATTGACTTCTAAGATTCAGTGAAGGAGAAACTGCTGTAGATTTAAGATGAGAAACTTCAAGATCGATTGTACTCATAAATGTACATGTTGAATTGAATCCCTCTTATCTACAACTATTTGAATATCATTAAAAAAAGTGATTGGCTGGGTGCCAGTGACACACGCCTGCAATCCTAGCTACTCAGGAGGCTGAGATCTGAGGATCATGGTTCAAAGCCAGCCCAGGCAGGAAAGTCCATGAAACTCTTATCTCCAATAAACCACCAGAAAAACAGAAGTGGCGCTGTGGCTCAAGTGGTAGTGTTCACCTTGAGCTGAAGAGTTCAAGACCCATGACCGACAAAAAAAAAAAAAGTGATCAAATATTCAAGGACAAATAAAATGATTTTTCATCTCAGATTTTTTAGACATCCTTTGAGTTATTATTATTATTATTTTCTAGTCCTGGGGATTGAATTCAGGGCCTGGGTGGTATACCTGAGCCTCTTTGTGTTCAAGGCTAACACTGAGCCACTGCGCCACTTCTGGCTTTTTCTGAGTAGTTTATTGGAGTCTCATGGACTTTTCTGCCGAGGCTGGCTTTGAACCATGAACCTCAGATCTCAGCCTCCTGAGCAGCTAGGATTATAGGCAGGAGCCACCAGCACCTGGCTTGAATTATGTTTTTTAGGGAACCTTGTATATTCCCCCACAAGAAGCTACAGCTTCATTTGGTAAGATGATGCTACCTTCTAGAAAGTCTATAGAAGGCACTAGAAAGTCTACAGAAGTCACTGCTGCTGAGCTTGTGTCTATTTATACTTGGTTTTAGATGTGTCCTTCTAATAAAGGTGGTTCTGGGCCAACCTGCCTCGTTACCTCTTCTCTATGATACAAGTCACATAACCCTTCCAAACTAAAGATGGAAGGAAGATCCCCGGCCAGAAAATAGAAGCCATAGATGATATCGCCGTCTGTGTTTTAAAATCCTTGTACTTTGCCAACAGTGTCTGCTGCACAGAGCTTTACATCCCCAGGAGCCTCTGCCCCCAATTCAGCAGCATCTTTTGAATATGCTGGACCCTCCCACTGAAGTGAGAGCAAAATGTCAGAGTTCTTTTTCTAAAATAAAGACTCTTTTCCCTCTCACTGAAGCCATCAAGAAAAAGGATCAAATAACTGCCCAGGATATTTTCCAAGACAAGTAAGTGCTCAGTGTGGTTGTGCTTAAGATTTAAGGCAGTCTTGGAGGTGTTTAGAATTCAGGTGTTGACAAGGGGTTTGTGGCATTTGCAAAGATTGGAAGAAGAAGCTTTGTTACCTGTTGGTGGCATGGAAGCACTGATTTCTCATGTTTGTCTGTTGTAGTCATAATTTATCTTTGCTGTTCACTTGAGATTTAGAACAACCTTCTGGGTTGTTGACTTTGGATGAGGGATGAAATTTTTGGTGAATTATATACAAGGAGGCTAAGCAAAGTTTTAAAACATTTAAGGTGAAAATGTTCCCCTTTTAAAGTAAGGAGCTGGGGATGAGGTGAAGATCATGAGGTTTCTTTGGTGGGGAGATTATTTATTAATAACATTTTTGGAGGAAAAGCAAGGAAAATGACCAATGTAGTCCTTTAGATGTTCTGGTACCATGTCAGTAGTGCACTTGGTTATGTTGTTAGGGAGGTAGATAAAGATTTGTAAAGTGCTTTTCATATGATCCTTTAATCAAGCATGCAAATGGGCTGTTAAGTTTTTTTCCTCATCACATTCTATAAGAATCTATATTAATTCCATTCATACATACAAAACTAAAATAAATTGTCCCTTGATAGAATCATTTGGGTATATAACATTGCTTTTACTAGGTTTCAGTCAAAGGTTATTAAGTGATTTTTCTTCTCAAACCACAATAATCTATTCATTTTTTAATGCTGCATTTTGGGATCTGACTTTAGACAATGATTTTTTGTTTTTGTTTTTCATTCTCCTTTGATTTCTTCCACATAGCTATATCTTTATTGACAAAGTGAAGATTATTATTTATAAATACCTTAGTGGTGAAACATTGAGAAATTTTCACTAGTTTCTATAAAGCACCGATTAGTGAATTATTGTCCAAGTTGAATATGCATTTGTGTGTATGCATATGCATGTGCATGCATGTGTGTTGTGTCTCCTTTTGCAGAGGAAACATCCCACATTTTGTTAGAGTTGAAAAAAAAATCATGTAGTCAGTGGATTCTGTCATGTGTACTCCTAGCACATACTGGAGAGATTTACAACTCTTCTTAGTCTATCATGTCTTCTATACAGGAAGTTTGTCCCTAAAAATAAACCCTCTCTCTGCCATCCTGGGCTACCTATATGCCTCTGGGTGCCTAGTTTAGAACAGTTCAATACAAACCTGAAGCCTTTTCTTCCCATAACACCTTTCTATAGTCTCACTGCAATCACAGGGCTATTCTTTCTCTGTATTAAAGCTCCAGTTCATGATCTTGATTACCTTCTGGTGTTGTGAGAAAGAAATGGGCCATTTTCTCCTTCTCCTTTGATTAAAATGTAAATTAGCTGATTTAAGGGAGAAAAAAACCTCACCACAAACATCCAGAAGGCTGCTGTGCTGTGATTTGATCCCTGCGGTGACTACACCGGCAGCTATAGTCCTATCACTCTGTTCTAGAAGCCTGGGCATACTGGGCATCTTGTTCTTTGCTCCTATAATATTTGGTGACTTAGCCCAGTTACCTGCTTGGGGCATGGGAATCGTCTCCTTTGTGAATACCTATTTACATGCCTATTCACTGCCCTTTTTTCTTTAGAAGTTTTAGCTTTTAAGAACTGCAGAAATGATGTATTTAGCACATATTTACTAAGAACTTCCTACATTCTAAAGGCATGACTCAGTCCCTGCTGCAAAGTTCTTAAAACTCTATTTTAATGAAAAAACTCTAGCTAACTTTGGGGGTAAATTCAATCAGGGGAAAAACAAGATTGCTAACATTATGATGTGTTTAGTACATGTTTATCATCCCTGTATTCAGAGTATGTATTTCCAATGGGAGAGAGAAGGTATAAACTTTGGGGTGGCAAATGTCTGTTCAGGAAGTTTCATAGTCAAAGCCTAGTTTTTGTTCCAAATTGTCACTCTTGCTCTGATTTTGATAAGTTATTTTATCTTTTTGAGATTTTCTCCACCTAAAAACAGCCTCATATCAAGAGATTATAGCATTGAAATTACAGATGTTAAAGCACTTTGAACTATATAGATGGAAGGCAATAATTACAACTCAGGGGCTGGGAAGGTGGCTCAGTTGGTAGAGTGCTTGCCTTGCATGCCTGAGGCCCTGGGTTCGATTCTTCAGCACCACATAAGCAAAAAGAAAAAAGCCGGAAGTGGCACTGTGGTTCAAGTGGTAGAGTGCTAGCCTTGAGCTGAAGAGCTGAGGGACAGTGCCCAGGCCCAGAGTTCAGGCCCCACGACCAGACCCAAAAAATACATAAATAAACTCAAACAGTAGTAGTATCATTGTCAGCAAAACATTGAATGTCTGAGATCTGCCATTCATCTGAGACCTGTTGAATACCTACTCGTAATGATTTATTCATTTCAGGAGGGAAAGAGTACCATTTAACAGTGTCACAATATACTAAAAACTACCCTTACAGAAAAGCATCACTTCCCAGAGAATTGCCTGAGAATTGGGGCATCTACGGTCCACTTGTGCAACTGATGAGTGTATAATCTTGCTTTCCTTTTGTCCTATGCAGTAAGTCATTCTAAGGCTTTCTCTTCAAATCCCTAAGACTTCTTTACACCCATGCTCAGCAGTCAGCATTACCTGGTTAATGACTAGGAGTCCTGGCCAGAGTCCTGACTCCAGAGTCAGCCAATGAGAGCTGGTCACCTTGCTCTGCAGTGTGTCCTCAGGAAAACTAAGCTTTAGTTTCCTCATTGGTAAAATAGGGATTACAGTAATATCTGCCTCATAAGTTTCATGGGGGCTAACTGAGTAATGTTTATCTAAAACTCAACACAGGGCCTAGCACATAATAAAACTGTAAATAATCTTTTTTTTAAAGCTGCTTATGTCCCTAGCACATGAGTCACAATGACAATGGTGATGATAGTAGTGATGATTTTCTAGAGAAAGTAAGAGGCCTATAGGTGGGAACTCCTTAGTTATTTTTGGCCCTTACTTAAAAACATAACCTATTTCACATTTACCTTTACTCTCATTTCCTTACTCAGTGGATATATGATACCCAGTTTATCCTTTCACCTGGGCCCAGAACTTCCCTCTTCCATTTTATTGCTGCATTAGTCCACTGATGGAGCTCCCTTTCTACCAGCTCTTGTCTTCCCTTTTATCTAAAACAAAGTAATTCCTACAGGTTCCTCCATTTAATTACTACTATCTGTTACTGATTATTAATCTAATTATGATCCTTTCTTCTATATGCTTGGCTTACTGGAAGAAGAATCTACACTTGCTGCCTTTTTCAGTCTCATTCTCTGCTGACCCCTCCACCTCTTTGATAATGGTCTTTAAAAGGCAAATTGCTAACTTCTCTTACAATTTGTAGTCCTTTTCTTTGTTGTTGTTGTTATTATTATTATTATTATTAAGTTGTACAAAGGGGTTATAATTCCCTAAGTCAGGTTTGAGGTCAGTGCTTCTTGGTCAATGTCAGCCCTTCTTTGTTCTCCATTTTCCCCATCCCTATCCTCAAGTTACATAGTTCATATTTTTCATGATGTACACTAAATATAATGACTACATTTGCCTACCTTGCAGTCTTTTTCTTAATGACTTTTTTTGTAGCACTTGATATTGCCAATTATTCTTTTCTTCTTCCCTCTCAACATTTGTATATCTTCCTTAACTTTAGCCTCTCTAGATTTTTATTCCTAACCTTTGACGTTTCTTCGTCACATTCCTCTGGGTTTTGCTTTTCTTTCCCCACCAACCTTAAACACTGATGATGTTCAGAAATAGCTAACATTTAACACAAGTATAAGGCTGAGTACTTTACCTACATTATCTGTATGGATCCACTTGGCTATCCTGTGAAGTAGCTTGCTTTATTGATAGCATCTTAATGCTGAGGAGGCTGAGGATTAGAGAAGAAAGGAAATATGCCCAAGATCCCAGTTGGTAAATGTTGAGTAAAGATTTAAGAGAGACTTAATACAGAGGGGATGAAGTTGATCAGATTGCATGGTATACAGACTGGAAATGTCATAATGAAATCTCTTTTGACCAACTAATGTATGCTAATTGAAAAAAAGACAAGTTCAGGAAATCTTAACTCTGGATTCTTATTCATGATACTATTATCACCTTAACAATGCATATTCCAAGATACTTTATTATTTTACATCCAGGGCTTCAAAAACCTCTGACTGCTGGTAGCCCAGGTTTTCACCCCATCCAGTGTTACCTTAAGTTCAATATGCTCAGAAATGACTTAATCATCTCTCCCTCTATGCTCCTTTCAAACACCTCTTCCATGTTATTCCATGTATTTCTGTGCATGACACCAAATTTCCTGGGAGTCACTTTCTTTAGCTCTCTATCTCCAGTACACCAAATTGTATTAAATTTACATCAAATACACGCCTTTTACTTTAAGTTAATATATTGTCTAGTAACAATGCTTTCCCCCATTTACAAAAAAAGTTATCTTTAAGTTTTTGTACAAAGGAGTTGCTATTTAACAAAGCGGTTTGTGAATACAATATATCTTGATCAATGTCACCCCTTTCAACTTCCTCACAGTTTTATAAGCATTAATATTGTCCACAGGGTTTTTGTTTTTGACCTGTCCATGTATGCATAAAATGTACCTTGACCAGACTCCCTCCCTTCATTACTCATCCTCATTCCCCCTTTCCTCAAATCAATCTTAATATGCCTCACTCTTCTGTTTTCACATATGTGTATAAGATACTTTGATCATTTTTCCCCTTCTTACTGTTTGTCCTTTCCCCCTCTCTCTATTACCTACATTCTGAACTGGACCTGTTTTCCATTCTTGTCATTTACTTATTTAAGTATATGTTAATTGTTCAAAGGAGTTTCACTGTGGTATTTCACATACATATACAGTACTTTAATCAGAGCAACCCTCCTTGCCTACTCTAATTATCCTCCACACTATTTATTATTCAACAGTTTTCAGTGAGTTTCAAGATTTATTATTAAGATTTATTGTTCTTTATTTTTAAAGTAACCTTTTCTTAAAGCCTCACTGTCTGAAAGGTATGGTTTGGAAGAAAAAAAAATAGGCTAGTACTGAAAAACCCTTATAGAAGAATGTAGTTAGTAGGTTTCACCTTGCCTAGCATGAATAAGGCCCTGAGTCCAGTCCCCAATTCTTGAAGAAAGAAGAAAATCTTAAAGAGAGTAGATTTTAACTGTTATCAGTGCATGCACACACATACATTAGGTAAATGTTAAGTGACAAGTCAGCCATTTCATGATATATACTTTTTTTTTTTCTTCTGCCAGTCCTGGGGCTTGAACTCAGGGCCTGGTTACTGTCCCTGAGCGTCTCTACTCAAGGCTAGCGCTCTACCACTTGAGCCACAGCATTACTGTTTATGTGGTACTGAGGAATCGAACCCAGGGCTTCATGCATGCTAGGCAAGCACTTTTCCACTAAGCCACATTCCCAGCCCCTGTATACATATTTTAAAACATCATGTCATACATGATAGTTTTCTTTGTCAATTAAAGTAAATTAAAAGGAATACTAGATCATAGTTATTACCTTTTTAGTTACTAATTTTATTCCTCTAGTTCTTGAGGTCTACTTGTAACCTAAATGATTATTTTCTGGAGAAAAAAATTTTTCCTATCTTTATGTTTCACAGTATAAGGGAGATCATGGGCAGAGCCTTTGGATTTGATTTTCTTCTTTGCAATTAACTTGACCTCCTCTTAACTTTAAGGCAAGCTGTTAAAGCCAGCGTGTTACTTGGGGCAAGATGTTTGATAGACTTTCTCTAAGTGATTGTTCCCTTAGCACACAGATGCTATTGGACTTGTTATCAAAGTTCTCAGAACATTAGTAGGTTTATAAAGAACAAATTAAAAGGTTTTGGGGCTGTGCACTAATGGTTCATGCCTATATCCTAGCTACTCAGGAGGTTAAGCTCTGAAGCCAGTCTGGACAAGAAAATTTGTGAAACACATGCTCTTATCTCTAGTTAGTACCACCACAGCCTACCCGTACCCCATACCCCAAGCATGAGGTGGAGCTGTGGTTTAAGTAGTAGAGTGCTATTTTAAGTACAAAAACTCAAGGAAGGGCCTAGGCCCTGAGTTCAAGCCCAGGACTGGCACCCCCCCCAAAAAAAAAAAACAACTTAAAAGTTTTTAAAAAATAGTTTAAGACTTACGTTTTAAACTCCTGCATATTTAATTAAAGATAGCCTGGCAACTTTTGACAGCTATAAGCAAAATCTTGTAATCTCATCACCTATAGGATGAAGAAAAGGGTTAGCACACAGAAAGGTCTGTTCATTCTGAAAGCTAATGTTTCAATTCTGAGCTAAAGCCTGACAAATAATATCAGAAGAGCAGATGGCTTTCTTTTTTTTTTTGGTCTGTCCTGGGCCTGAACTCTGGGCCTAGGCGCTGTCCCTCAGCTCTTCAGCTCAAGGTGAGTGCTCTACCACTTGAGCCACAATGCCACTTCCAGCTTTTTCTGCTTATGTGGTACTGAGGAATTGAACCAAGGGCCTTATACATGCAAGGCAAGACACTACTACTGAGCCACCTTCCCAGCCCAGATTTCTTTCTTTTTTTGGGGGGGGGGTCGGTCATGGGGCTTGAACTCTGGTTCTGAATGCTGTCCCCCAGCTCTTCAGCTCAAGGCTAGTGCTCTACCACTTGAGCTACTGCGCCACTTCCAGTTTTCTGAGAGGTTTATTGGAGATAAGAGTCTCACAGACTTCCCTGCCTGGGCTGGTTTTGAACTGCGATCCTCAGATCTCAGCCTCCTGGGTAGCTAGAATTACTGGCATGAGCCACTGGCGCCTGGCTCCAGATTTATTTCTTAAACTGTATTTCTGCTACCTAGATTTCTTTTGTAAATGGTGTTTCCACTACCTGTTCATCTTTTGCAATGACTTTGTGCTATAGCTGCTAATGTTGACTGCAGTGTTTTTTGTTTTTGTTTTTGTTGGTCATGGGGGCTTGAACTGGGCTTGGGTGCTGTCCCTCAGCTCTTCAGCTCAAGGTGAGTACTCTATTACTTGAGCTACAGTGCCACTTCCAGTTTTCTGGTGGTTTATTGGAGATAAGAGTTTCATGGACTTTCCTGCCTGAACTGGCTTTGAACCTTGGTCTTCAGATCTCAGCCTCCTGAGTAGCTAGGATTACAGGCATGAGCCACCAGTGCCTGGCTCTGATTTCTGTCTTGCTATAAGATAGTCAGGGCTTTTCTTAGGTCCCTAGAGCCCTGAGGCAGGAAGAGGGAGGTAGTCTATTTGTAAATTAAAGGACCAAGTAAGTGCAGGGACTATCTAGTTTTGTTGCTTGAAAAATAAGTTTATACTTTTCACAGAAATACCCTGTTTAATTTTGTTGTTGTTGTTGTAGGCTTGAACTCAGGACCTAGGCATTATCCCTGAGCTTTTTCACTCAAGACTAATACTCTTACCACTTTTTTTCACTCAAGACTAATACTCTTACCACTTTAAGCCACAGCTGCACTCCTTGTTTTCTGGTGGTTAATTGGAGAGAAAAGTCTCACAGACCTTCTTGCCCTGGCTGGCTTTGAATTTGGATGATCCTCAGATCTCAGTCTCTTTGTTGTAAGGGGAGAAAAAAATCTCTAACGTTTCTTTCTTTTTTTAGTCGTGAAGAAGAGCCATCTGCTAAAAAATCTAAAACTGAGGAAGGGGAAGCCAACTTCAGTGTTTCTAGCCTGGCCGAAGGCACTGTCACTAAGGTAAGCAGCTTTCCATTATGCTTCAAAGGCCAGGGCTCTAGGAGATTACATCAAGGTTGCTGAGTCTGCTAATACAACATTTTCTGGTCTTCTATGGGAACTATAAAGGCCCATCCCACACTTATTCCTTTTTTTTTTTTTTAAGTGATTTTTATCAGTCCTTACTTAAGTATGTAGCATATAGGCTCTAAATAACACATATTACACAGTACACATCACCAATGACATTTTGTTTGTTTATTTTTTGTGATAGGACCTTGCTACATATCCAGACACACCTCAAACTCAGGACCCTCCTTCCTTACACTCTTGAGTGCTGGAATTATAGCTATGGGCTATCATACTTATCAATAATAGCATTTTTAATGGAGTTTTTGGGGGCTCATTTTTCAGCTTCCATTTAGTCAAAAGGATAAGTAGGGGGCTGGGAAGGTGGCTCAGTGGTAGAGCGCTTGCCTTGCATGCCTGAGGCCCTGGGTTCAATTCCTCAGCACCACATAAGAAAAAAGAAAAAAGCCGGAAGTGGCACTGTGGCTCAAGTGGTAGAGCGCTAGCCTTGAGCTGAAGAGCTGAGGGACAGCGCTTAGGCCCCAAGACTGGACCCAAAAAAAAAAAAAAAAGGATAAGTAGGTAACATGCCAGACTGGTGCTCTACCACTTGATCTATACTTCTGGCTTTTTGTGGATAATTGGAGATAAGAATCTCATAGACTTTTTCTGCCTGGATGGCTTTGAACTCAAATCTCAGCCTCCTGATTAGCTAGGATTACTGGAGTGAGCCACTAATGCCTGGCTTGCCTGCTTTTTTTTGAGACTTGCCTAAGCTAGCCTTGAACTATAATCCTCTTTATTTCTGCCTCTCAGGTAGAAAGGGTTTCATTCTAAGTACATAAAATTTAAGTTAGTCACTGTCTTTTGTAATATACAGTTTCACAATAGGAGTCTTAAAGTTTGAATGTTTTCAATTAAATAGAATTTTCCAAACTAAATACCCTTCTTTTGGCACTTATAGCTTGATACAATGAAAAGTTGTTTTTTTTTATTTGTTTGTTTTTGAAAATAGTATCTTTTTTTTTTTTTTTTTGGTCTGGTCGTGGGGTCTGAACGCTGGGCCTGGGCGCTGTCCCTCAGCTCTTCAGCTCAAGGCTAGCGCTCTACCACTTGAGCCACAGTGCCACTTCCTGCTTTTTTGTTATGTGGTGCTGAGGAATTGAACCCAGGGCCTCAGGCATGCAAGGCAAGCGCTCTACCACTGAGCCACCTTCCCAGCCCGAAAATAGTATCTTTTTAAAGCAACATCTTGAATCCACATGTCTTAAAATTTCCCCTTATTAGTAGATTACACCAGGAAGATCATCAGTTCTTAGGCATCCCTTTATGCTCACTTCAGACAGAAATGCTCTCAGAAAAATCAAATGTCTGAAAAGTGATTTGGACATTGTTTTATAGTGTAGGAGGAAAGATCTTCCTTTTCTACATGCTAATCAAAAGCAAACTGGAAAGAGAAGTACATTTGTACTTAAGTTTACCAGCCTTACTCCTTTGTTTTTTTTCTGTGTCAGGGTAGGACCAGCAGATTAAAGACATGGGTTTGTTTTAAAATGCCTAGAAAATCCTTAACATGATCTGCTTTTACTTTTTGAAGACATACTCAGTTTGGGCATATTTGTGTGTCCTGCCAAAACTAAAGTGCCAAAAAACCAGTAGCAGTCTCCCTCACAGGATGTTCAATGAAGCAAGCATTAAATGGTTATTTCTCACGCCATTGTAGTGGGCAGATGTGTGTAGTGTGACCTACAATTTTACCTTCTCCCCTTCTAAGTGGGGAAATATCTGGAAGTTCAAGCAGTCTGCAGCACAGAAAGCCTTCAAGCCAGGCTGGCTGATGGTGTGCACTTTAATACCTCTGACCCCTCTGTAGATGAGTTAGCTTACATAGAGAAAGTTGAGTCAAAGTAGACAGGGCAGCTGTGTGACTTGATGAATCTGTTAGCCTCGAACAGAAAAGACCATGATAGAAAAGGCCTTCTCTTTGTCTTAAACAGCATACTTATTACATTAAGCCATCTTGCATTGCGGACTGTTGCCAAAGAGAAGTGACCTGTAGGTTTATTGTCTGGGTCTGTTCTAGGTTGGAAGTGTAAATCCTGCTGGAAACTTTCGTGCTCTAGTGAGACAGAAGAATGTCAGCTTTGAGGAAGGTGAGTGGTCTACCACTTGGCTTTGGTATTCAACAAAAGGTGCTTACTTAGGCTGAGTGATTTAATGTTTGAATATTGGTATTTGTTGTAATACTTTACATATTTCTTTTTACTGGCAGACCTTCATGATTATTCCTTGTTAGGGGCTCATTGAGACAACCTGGACTCATGAGGGTAAAGGCAGCACAAGTTAACTCATACAAAGAAGTTATTTGTTGGTCTCCTTATTATGGAAATTTTTACCAGAATCATGGAACTTTCAGTTTCACTTCACTGAAGTTCTTTGGGGTTTTGTGTGTAAAATTGGGTCTTATCTTTCTGTTTTCAGAGATGCACAATTCTTGGTTCTGGTTCTAAGAGTTAGGGCTGCATTTATATTGGCTCAGAAAGATCTTACTGCTACCTCTAGATTTAATCCTTCTCAAGTTAACCTTATCCTCACATTTTCTAATCAAACATAGCCTAAAATTCTATTTAGGCTATGTTTATTCACTTGATTGCATTCAGCTTCCTTTTCAACAGTAGCAATTGACAGTTGTTAATCCTGCAGGGTAAGGCCTGTTTGTGACTACCTTCTATGTGTGCGTTTATTTGTATGTGTTTATATTCCCATGTGCATAGAACTTTCTATTTCGGCAGAGTGGCATTATGGGGGGGGAAATAGACCCTTAAATGCCTGGAAATACTATGGCCTCACAGAGATCTATTGGTTAGAGAGGGCAAAGAATCTACTAAGTCAGATCCTGTTGAAACAAACATTAGAGACTAAGCCCATGAAAATTTCCTAAGGAAGACCAGCTTTGTGATCATAGCCATGTATTTTTTGTGTTTTGAGATGGAGGAAGAGTTTGTTTTTGTTTTTAAAACTAGGTGTTGCCATATAGGAAAAAGCTTTTCAGTTGTAACAGCAAACAAAACTTCATTTAAATATAAGAAAGGAACCCAGAATTTTAGGTGAGAGTTTTCTGGAAGGCTTGGTGGAAGCAGTGCTTCAGAATTTTCTTCTTTTGTTAATTGTGGTGTTCAGAATAATCCTACACTATTGTCTGACCACATAGTATAACTCTTAGGAAAGGGACAGACAAGTTGACCCTGACTATATCATGATTAATGTGAGGATTTTTTGGTTTGTTTTTAGCAGTACTGTGGCTTTACTTCAGGGCCTTATAATTGGCTAGGTGGGTACTCTGTCCCCTTGAACCATGTTTTTAGGTCCTTTTTACTTTGTGATTCTTTTCAAATACGGTCTCATTTTTGTCCAGAGCATTCCATCACCCCTGTGGTTTGGTTTTTCAGATGAGGATTGCTGACTTTTTGTCCTGAGCTGTCTTGGAACTATGACATTCACCTCTGGGTAGCTATAGCTAGGACTATAGAATGAGCCATCTCACCCGATAATTAAGATTTTAAAGAAAGATTGAACTTTTTTTTTTTTTGTCAGTACCAGGGTTTGAACTAAGGGCCTCACATTTACTTAGCTTTGCTTATTTAGCTGGTGATCTGCCACTTGACACATGCCTTTCATCCTGCTTTTATTTTAGAGATGGAGTTTTGGGGCCTTGTATTATGATTCTTTGGTTCTCAGCCTACTGAGTAGCTAAGATTATAGGTGGGAGCCATGCTTCCTTCCTACTATTACCTTGTCCAGCCACAGTCCATGATCCTTTTCTGGAACTGATTGATCTTGATATAGGCATGGTCTTCTTAGCAATTAAATGTAGTTATGATCACTGTTATATGGAGTCTACTAGTTATTTTATGTCAACGCAAGACATTATGTTAGCCTTGCATTGTGTCAGTCTTTGTTTTATTTACCCAGCAAAGTCACATGAGGAAGTAAAGAAAACATTAAGAGTTTTAAGAGCTAGTGTCAGTTTTCTGAAGGAGAGATTTGGTTTCAGGGAGAAAAATATTTGGGTGGACTCTGAGGGTAGAATACGGCCCAGGCGTGGCAGTCAGCCAGTGCTGAAGCTTGAATGGCAGGGAAAGCACCTAATTCTTCTAAAGTAGAAGTTTAGAAGCGCATTCAAGACAGGGTTGAGGAGGAGAAAATGAAAGGAGAGAAAGGAAGTGAGTGAATCTATCTATAGATATAACCACAAAGACTCAGATTACAAAACTCTATGGGAGTGTTATATTTATGTATTCTACTGAAGAAAACTGGTGAAGAGGGAATTACTTCAAGCAGGACAGAGAAGACACTTATAGGAGGCCACAGTTTGAGAAACCATGAGAGTGTACATTCCTGAGAATTTGCTCAGTCTTAGGAAACATGGTTTCTTCTTGGCCAAAGAGCTAAAGATTTTAAACAGTCATGTTAAAATGACAAAGCCAAGTGGATCCCTATAATATATAGGCCACAAGAGGAAAAAACTGTTGAAAAATCTATAAATTTAGAAGAGATAGATTTCCTCTCCAACCACACAGGCATTCAGATACCCTTTTCCTGTTCAGATACCCTTCTCCTGTATACACTTATTTTTTTGTTTGCTTGTTTTTGCTTTTTTATTTTTATTTTTTTGCTTAGCCAGACTCTTTCTTCTGCTTCCTAATGGACTCCTTTCAACACTTAAATCTTTATAAGGTCATGCAAATAAAACCTTGTGCCTATCCATAGCCTTTTGATGAATAGACTGTCCATTCTTGCTGAATGTGACACTGAGTCCCAGCACATTGCTTATGTTGTAACAGTGGGTGTCCCTCTGTCCCTCCACCTAGGACTTGGTAATAAATCAGAGCTTTCCAGTGAAGTTGCTAAACCAGGCCCTCCACATGGCTGTAGAAAAGCGATGGCCTGCTGGTTAACCATGCCTCTGCTTTGTGGCTCTCACTTGGCTCCCCTTTTATTCCTCCTTCTCTTGAAATTCTGTCTCTTCATTGCTTGTCCTTGCTTTTGTTCTGCTTCAGCTTCTCTGTTGTAAGGCCCTTTATGAGCCCAGACTCACTTTCTTTGTCCTATAGAGTTCTCCCTCCGGATTTTAAGTACCCTCCCTGGTAATGATCTCCTTTATCCCTGAGAGTTGTCTGTGCAGGGAAAGAGGGGAAGGGAAGCCAAAACTATGACTAACAGATAGTTGGTAAAATTGCTTTACCCTTAGGCAGAAATGAGACACTCTCTGTCAGTCCTAATCATAGCTTAGTGATACTATCTTATGTTATCAGTAGTCCACAGTAGGCAGCTGCACATTTTCTTATCTTCTGGTGTTCAGTATGAAGGATGCTTTTTGTTTTAACCTCGTTGACAGAGAGAAAACAACACATCTTGGCTGCCAGGTATTCTGTGAGTGCCCTTATTCCAGTCCCTTCTCTCTTTCTTCCTTACGTGCCCTGACTACAGTAGTTATCTGTCATTGTGAAAGTAGGACCATTTCCTCATGACACTACTCATAAGGGTGTCACTGCCATCATCTGTGGCTGTGGGTCCACACATCTGAGCAGTCACTCATATCAAGTCTACTCATTTCTTTGAACATGCCTCCTCCACCAAGTCCATTACCAACTCTGTGCCAAAGAACACCACAGATTTCCAATTATTTGCCTTTTCCCTGCTTTACTTAGGAAGAGTGCTAAAACAGCTAAAGATAGACAACAAACTATCTATCTAGAAGCAAGAGTCACCCAATTCCTGAGTGTGTGATGGATATATGTCTGAATTGTATAAATTCCCACTGACTATGGTATAGCATGTCAGAATGTTCCTCATGTTTCAGAAAAAGGCTCTTGGAGCCTGCCAGAAAAGATAGACATATAGAATCAACTAATAGGATGGAATGTAACCTATTTTATAGTAAGATGAGTTTCTTTTTCCTGGATCTTGCTTTTGCTAAGCAGATTATATATTATGCTTCTTCATAGTGTCAGGGTGGGGGAGCTTCATTCAACCAAATCAAATTCATATGAGCATAACTGGCTTAAAAAAAGAGAACAACAGTTCAGACACCCTAAGTAGGAGAGCTCACATTCACCCAAACAGCTGCTGTTTAACATTAGACTAATATACAAAGAAGCCACAGTGCACACCTGTCCAGTTGGTAGAAAGTGATCAGTTGATTCTGTGACTGCTAAGGCACAGAATTCCTCTCTTTTTTTTCCCTCTTCCTTGTACTTTGGATCAAAACTTATCCCTAAGTCTTTTTTGCCTTTTTCGTAATCTGCCTTACTCTGATCATCAAAAACATTCTTTCAACTTTAAAAGGTATTTCTGAAAGTTTATTTTTCTAAGTTCTCCTAACACATGATAAAAATGCTGTAATTAATAATAGCATTACATTACTCATCAAAGCCAAATAGACTTTTTTTTTTCCAGTTTGTGTAGCAGTTTACTTGGGTGGATTATGTGATTTTTCTGCCATGAGTCAAAAACTAAACTGGATCCTATAGCATTATGATCTAGAAGACATTTTCATCTGTTTGTTTCCTTTGGTAATTGGCCTTGGTTTATGTAATCTTGGATTTGAAATATGTAATCTATCAGAGCTCTGTCCATATACAGATAAAATTAATATGTGGCCTTTTTCTACAAAGATATGAGTAAGAAAAATAAGGTCTGTCAAATACCTAGAATATCTTAAAAGATACTAAATGCAATGACTAGAAATTTAAAGATCTTTGGACCTATAGGAATCTTTCATGAGTTTGACATACTTATTCCTTTCCCAAAATAGCACTGATACATCTAGTCATGAGGAAGAAAACACATGGATGCCAATTCTAGTCTGTATTTCGCTTTTTTTCCCCCAAATATTTTCACTTGCTTCCTTTTTGATGTATTTTAAATTGTTAAAACCCAGAACTTGACAATCCAGACTTACTTTATGTCTCATTTATCAAGGCAAATCATCCCATTCTAATAGGAAAATCAGCCTGTTTGGAGGGTTAGAGGATACCTGCTGAAAGAGTGTTATTACTTGACATGGTAATTATGCATCAGCGGTCTTGTTCACCTTCCATGTGGGTGGACTGAGAGGTCCAGAGTGCTTAGGACTCCACAGACTATTGCA